AAAAATAGTAATATAAAAAACAACAACTTAGAATTCATTTGAAAATTGTTTTAAAGGGCTCTATTCAGTTGTTCTTCTGGACCTTGGCAAAATAGTGGCTGGCTGAAAAACAAAAGGAGAAGGAACATGTTAACAATTCTAGGTATCCAAATTCTCGTTCACCCAGAAACAAACCAATGGTTGGCAGGAAATAAGGTTGCAATTTCGTGTTATTTCGGAAGTTGATCATCGGTTGTTGAGCTGTGCCGGGTGCAACTGAGTTTTGTGAGTTTGCTTATTCTATCAGCTCAGCTCTCAGGCGTTCTCTATACAAAGGGAAGATCATTGAAGATTTGACAGAGTGACCTGTGAGCTGCAGGAAAGGTTACTCTTTGCAGAACTTAAAGGAGAAGAAGAAGTGTGTGCTTGATTATCATAAATAACCACATTTCATTTTGTATTACAAAGATACGCAACTGCATATTTATTTGTACAACAGCATATTGTGAGGATGATACAGCGCCATTAACATCTCATAATTAAAATCTTCTTATAAAGCTGACATTAACTGTAAAAAAAAAACTTCCAGAAAAAAATGGAATAATATGGCCATGAATGGCACAGTATTGCTGTACCTGAAACAACCAATAAATTTTCACAAGCACATGATGACACATAAAATGCATGCAACTATAACTGATGCGGTAAGATTTAACCACCTCAAAAACAACAGCAAATTTATCTGAAGAGATTTAGCTATAACGTTGTCCTTTCAAAAAAGTGTACCATCTATATGCATGATCACAAATCCTTTGGTACAATGCATTATATTCTAAAACTTCAGTAAACAGTTAGTTCCAGTGCCTATTCACATGGTCCCTTACCCATGAAGCCCCAAGTAAAATGAGTAAATCAGGAAAACCAAAAACAGTTGGATCAAGGCTGGGTTTGAATATCCAAAGAACATTCCTTCCAAATATCTAATACACAAGGGACCACTCAAAATTAGTTTCTTTCAGTGAGGCACAAATGGATTATTGCCTACAAAAAGCTAAAATTGCAGAACGAACTAGATCAAAATATGCTCTGTGTAATCGTGTGTAAAAACTACAAGGAAGTACCCCCTCCCTATGTTTTACTAAATGAAAAACAAAAAGAAATCAAATCACTTCAATGCGCAGAAGAATGCTGATAATAATACAGCACAAAGCATATTTTAATTGTTAGAGACACATGAATGTCGCACCCTTCCTGATTCCATTTCCAAAAAGCAAAAGGAATAAGCTTGCATCTTAATTTAGCAAAGCATTTGAGCACTTATTTGATTTACAAGGCCTAAAGTAAACGGAAACTTTTTAAAAACATCAGTACTTTTCTAGTTAAATTGCCGAAAATTTACTTCTTGTTCTCAGCCCAATCTGGGGCAAATTACTTGCATTGGCTTCCTGAGACTACAAGGAGGCTTTATGACTGGAAAGTTCCACACTCATTTTACTTCAGAAGCTTTCAGACAAAGGCACCTGACAAGCCAACAAAAGATTCTTTGTAGTGATGACTAGATATGATTTAGATGAAACAAAAATGTCAATAACATAAAGTGCTATTTGGTAATGTAATGAATGTTACTTATCTATCCAATATAAGCAGCTCTTCATTGTATATTAGGCCAATGCCTGAAATTGATGTGGAAGCCTCATTTTACTTTATTTTACTTGGATCAAGAGGAGGACCATGTATGGCAACAGTGGCACTGACCACTGATAGCCCTTATTTCAAGTCATGAGGAATAAGGCTGCCCCATTAACATCAGATATTGGTTAGACGAATTCCCTTATATCCAAATAAAAGGTACTTTACAAAATAAGAGAACTAATATTTGATAAAAACTCCACTTAGAATTTCAACTGCAAATGGAAACTAGATGAAAAGGATACCTAATGTGTCCTGTTTGCACTGTACTAAATAACTAAAACGGCTCATGTCACTCAAACAGTTGCCATATCTCAATGAAAAGCAAGCAGTTAAAGTGCACTCACTGACAGAATTACAAAATTAAGTTAACAACATATTGTTCTGAAATATTCACATTTTTGATAATGATAAGAGTTCACAGATATCAAAGAATAGAATAGAAACATATTGCCAATTACACCCACACAGTATAAAAAAAAGGAGTGGCAATTGAGCACATGACAGGCCCCACCTCCTCGCACCGTTACGATGCAATGGTAATTGGAATAAAGGGCTTAACAACTACATAAAAACTGTAGTTGGATTTTGAAATACTATTAACACCGAATTTGGCCATTTTATTATGCAAAATAATGCAGCAAATAACATTGTGCCATTAATCCCAAAACATGCATACATGTGTTCTCTCTTCATGCCAGTGCAATAGTTTTCGAAAAAGGTTGGCTTGAGAGAAACCAGGCTGCTGTCTCAGTTTTAAAAAGGCAATTGTCTTTTGACAGTATTGCTTTAAAAAAAAAAAAGCAATGTATTCTTTTAAACAAACTTAAATTGACCACTATTGCACACACTAATACTATATGTTCACAAACTCCTACTTGATACATGAGTATTTTTGTACTTTGGTCCATCATATTAATTACTTCTTTCACACTTTAAGAAGGAGAGGGGAGGGGAGGGGCATTATGGAGGTCCGAACATGTATCCATAGAGTCTATCGTCACATGGTTCATCTAATTTTGAGAACAAGGAGATATGTCTGATTGGAACTTCTGTAATTCTTTAAATATGCATTAAAGCAAAACAATTCTGAGATGAAAAAATAAGAAACAAACAAAACCATTACAAAAAATAAAAATAATCTAGGCAATTTAGGCATTGAATGGCCTAGTCTGTCTATCAGACTGTCTGCAAGTAGTACTCAAAAAAGGAGTTGTGACTGCACTACATTCAGTGCTTGGCACAAACTTCCACCTTTCAGGCAAAATATACAACACAACCACATTTGTAAAACGAAAATAAAAGTAAAGATTGGTAGCAAAGAGATAGCCTAGAAGTCTTTAAGTGACATTTAAAAATAAATATCTTAAGTTATAAAGATGAATACAAGAACAGTAAGCAGACTTCAAATGCATTGTGCAAGTTTAAAATTTTACTCATTTAATATATAATCAAATCAGAGACATTATGTCATGAATCAAAGGAAGAGGATGGCATGATGGCTTGGGATAGTCCCAGTGAGATTTAGCAGGGTAAACATAAGACCAAACTGCCCTTCACACAAAAATTTGCAATCCTCCGTTAATATTCTCTCGCTAAGTTTCATCTGTTTACAGTAAATTCAGAAAAGTTTCCACATCATTTCCAATTGACAAAATATTAATTATATATCCACATAAACGATTGGTCACAGTTTCTGCAACTGATCAGAAACAAAATTATGCTTCCGAGGAAAAGTCTCCTCACTGAATACACACACAAGAATTTCTTTCTAGAGAGGGTTATTTCACCTATTTGATTCTTGAAACAGCAGTCTCCATCTCAGATTTGCACATAATTTTTCCTGGGCTTCTGCATAATTAACTGCTATGCTCATTTTCGTCAAACATCACAGAATTTTAAGTCACTGGGTCTGGTAATATCAGATATAAAGTACTATCTGTAAAATAAAAGAAGGCCTTATCACACTTTTCTTCTTATTTTTTAAATGAAAATGTTAACATATGAAGTACAAGAAGTGTGGTACAGTAATTACTTCTCATGGCTTGACGAAAATTATGAGAATCACAAAGGTTCATTGTAAACAAATTTGGTGCGTGAAAGAAAACAAAAAGGCATAGATTTTATACCTGCAACATTATCTGCCTATGTTTTAAGAAACTAAATTAATATCAGGTGCAAACATTAAAGAGGGCTAGAACCCATTAACAATATTAACATAATAAGCTCAAAAGTCTCTGCGAAAGTATGCCTGAGATCACAGACACCATCATGTATTGCATTGACTAGTTACAGAGATGCACCTTACTTCCCACGAGCAGTTGAACAGGGCAAACATCAACATCTGACTCTTACATTAGAATAGAATAACTGGTCAACGAAATTGTATTCAGGTATTTTTTTATGAAGCTGAGAATAGTTTTAACAACTAAGAAAAATCAAACTGCAACACAAAGTTGTGGCTCAGATAAATAAGTTCAACTAGCAGATTTGATATCTTCAAGGAAATCCCATGGTATTGGTCCAATAAGGTACCATTTAGTAAGAATGTCAAAGAAAATATTTGTTCAAAAATAATGACCTTTACATAAAATTTGTTTTTTGGTTCATTGACCTAAGAACTATTGGTCACCACTTAAATTAATGAGTCAAATTTCTCATTATGGTTTTGAAGTTATTTAGACTACTCATGTTCGTAAGTGTTAATCCTACATCAGACATTAAAAGGCATATCCAGATTTTTCACACAGTTCTTACTCTCTGAGGACAAATCTTTCTCAATATGCTAAGACTACTTATTTTGGGAGAGAGCAATGCTTAAGCAATAATGACTGGTGATGACTGGAACTCCTTGTTGACAATGTAAAACTTGTGCTTTCTTCCCAAAACGCCCCATATTACTGCAATGTTCTCTATGACCAGAGTAAAAGGAATGATGAGCAGAGTTCCAATGATACAGAGGATTAACCTCAGCACTCCAAACCGGTACACAGAAAATGATTTGATGACACCAAATATATACATGTACAGGTTCATGCCCTCTGCAAAAAAAAAAGACAGGATGAGAAATGTTGTGCTAGCTCAATCATAACACCAACTAAAATGAAAGGAATATGCACTGTTAACACCAAATATATACATGTACAGGTTCATGCCCTCTGCAAAAAAAAAAGACAGGATGAGAAATGCTGTGCTAGCTCAATCATAACACCAATTAAAAGGAAAGAAATATGTACTGTTAAAATGTACTTAAATATTTTTCTAAAGAAAAAACTTACCAATAAATGCACAGAGCATGTTGAGTGCAGCTGGGCAGGGCAGGGGGAACATAGTGGCTAGCACCACCTTGCAGGTGACGAGGGGCAGCGTGACCCACGAGTAGCAGGACACGGCCAGCAGCCACTTGGTGCGCCAGGGGATGGCCTGCGAGTGCACCACCAGCAGGATGCCCTGCAGCCAGCGCTTGCGCTGCTGGATGAAGTCCCACACGGAGAAGGGCGACTTCTCCCACATCTCGCCCTCGATGAAGGCGAACGAGTAGCCCTGGTCCAGCGCGCGCATAGCGAAGTAGCAGTCTTCGGCGACCGACCCATCCGGGCCGTTGTCGAACGACACCTGCCGCTCCGCAGAGGCCTGCAACAACCACAGACAAACGCGATCAAAACTCAAGTTGAAGGAAGAGATTTGATTCCCCACCGTGCAGAAGAAATCACAATCGGAGTAAACAACTAATTTACAGATCCATTTCAAAGTAAGGCTAGATGAACTCACAGACAATCATCTCAAAAAACTGGCAGGAAAGGCACGACTCAACACCTTTGTTCTTTTCAGTGTACGTTCAGTCAGTCTCTTTTCCTCCAACCCGGAATCGCTTATTTTGCAGCAGTAAAGTTGTTTTATTTAGTCCGGACGGCGCGGGGGATGTGTGCACGTAGCTCAGCGTCTTACGGGCGGCCGGGGTAGGCCAGCCCGCCGGGCAGCCCTGCGTGACGGGACTGCACCCCCGCCGGGGGCTCGAGGGCCGCACCCGCCCCGCAGCGCCCCGCAGCGCCCCGCAGCGCCAACCACCAGCGACGCGCACGCATCCGGAAGCCCAAAGCCCACTGCCGCATACCGGAACCGCATACCGGAAGGGACTTTGTAACAGCATTGTCGCGTCGTTTGCAAAGAGTGGCTGCGGGGGTTTTTCCTGTTTCCCGTTTCCCGGTTCGGCCAGACGCGGCCTCACGTCACGCCCCCCCCGTGTGCGACCGGCAGCGGATAGGGAATAGGGAGGGGAGGGGGAGGGGAGAGTACGGGGGAGTGCAGCCGACACTGGGGGTGTCTCACATGCACATGTGTGCGCCTTAATCCGTAGGGCCCAGAGGAGCGCACTGTCATCCTGTTACTGATTTTTTCACCCCTTGTGTCAGTCATCCTTCGGCGTAAAAACATTTGTAAGCTACTAATAAATAAATAAATCAGTACAGGTCCGAGAGTGCGACAATTGGCGTTTACACTCACGGTAAAAATAGTTTCTTGTTTTTCAAGACCTGGTCTTGCATGACATTGGCGTTCTCTTTAAGATCCAGGGCGGGTCTTGAAATACACAAAACATTTTTTTACCGTGCTTGAGACAGCTTTTGGCGTTTAGATTCTAGACACCTCTGCACTGTGCTATATGCAGCAAACATTGTAGCTCAGGGTGTCTAGCTGGAGCGCTCCTATTCAATACATGTACACCAATCTAGTCCCAGCTCTATGGGCATGCACGATACTTTTGATGAGCCTCCCACACAGGCACGGTTTTATTGCCCCCCCCCCCAACGTCGGCTCAAATCACCCCCTAGGGTAGTTAGGCAATTTGTCCTACAACACCCCTGAGAGAGGGCAACCCAAAGTGAATCGCACGCGGGTAAACACAGTTCTTTGATGTTCAAGGACAAAGACGCACCAATTCAAGGGCGCCCCGTGTGCTTTCCCTACCCCTGTCCTTGAATCGGTGTCTTGGTCCTTTGATATCAAGGAGCTGTTTTCACCGCGCGCCCATCCGTCAGACGAACTTTAAACACCGCCCGCCACCACATGGCAGTGTGTGCGTGTAGTGACTCGCACGCGTGTGCGAACACTTAGAGCGCGGGGGAGGCCAGGGCCGCAGGGCCGCACAGCCCGTCTCTGTTTGTACGCTTTGTAGCAGTGTGTGGCCTCCCCCCGCCGGCACCACAATCAGCATCGGTTCACTTGGGTCACTAATAGCCGCAGGGTATTGCAGCCACGTGCTGGGCGCCAGCAGTCCCCCGGGCAGGGCCGGGCCGGGCCGGGCCGGGCCGGGCCGCCCTCGACTCGACACACATTTCAACGACCACACCACCCCCAACCCCTACACAGCCAGGTCCTTCCCCTTTCATGAAGTTGGCAGTCCGACAGAAATGCCCGGGCAGTCTAGTGGCCCCTCTGCCATGCATCCCGTCGACGGCATGTTGCGGAGAAGCATTTCCCACGCCCAAGCGAACGCAGGCGACTGCCCCCACCCCCCGCTACTCGGCCTTCTCTTTCTGGTCGCGGGATAATATACTTTCGGAGCAAAGAGGCATGTCGGCGGCACCAGCCCCAGAACAGAACAGCCACGGGGTCTGTTGTGCTGCGGGGCCCGGGCCCTTTAGGACCCGTCTTTATGCCCCCCCCCCCTCCATTCTGTTTGTGCAATAGTCGATAAGAGAGCACGCCCCTCTGTCATGCCACGAAAGCCAATCTGGCCCGCGGCGTTTCATGGAGTTCAGAAGAGCAGCGGCGGCGGTAGCGCGTTAGACTACCTGGGAGGTTACAGGTAGACGGGCTCCACGCACTGGAACCATCAGACAGACTCATGCAATGTCGTCTGAGAAAGAGTGATGGAATTTATTGTTTCCCAAAATCAATTTTCGTTTTCGTTGCACGGTTTTCGATCATAATCAAGAAAAGAGAAGCGGAATGAGCATCCTTTGCACGTCGCTTTCCCAAGAGTGACTCCTCCTGCATTTCCATAGAGCGAGGGAGGGAGGGAGGGGCGAGCGTCGGAGCAATACCATCCG